CGCGGAGTTGCAGGGCTGGACACGCGCAGGGAGTCAGACATATGGTCGGTGGGTACATGCATGAGGGACCATGGCTGCACCAGGCACACACTGAGCCTGACCAAGAGTTGGTGGAGGCCTGGTGGCCCGGCCTTGGACATGCGCTTTGATCACGAAGCTTCTGTCTTCTCTGTCTCTTCCATCTGATGCTTCACCCTACCCACAATACACTGGGCCCACAGGACCAGAGGAGAGCAAGAGAGGAGGAAGGCCCTCCTGTCCAGTGAGCTGGCCCAGCCCCATATTGGCCTCCGGCTGAGAGGGTTTGGGCCTGTGTTTCCAGCAGCATACCGTCCCCTGGCAGGCGAGGCCTCTGGAGCTGCCAGCACTTGGCGGCAGCGTGGCTGTCGGCTCAGCCCAGGCTGCTCTGGGTCTGATTGTTATCTCCCCACAGGTCTCTTCTTCCTGTTCTTCTGAGTCGCAGGAGCCCACGAGGGCAGCTGGCGCCTCCTAATGTCCCGGAGCAGCTGTCACGAGGGGTGGGCGCTGATGGATGGATTAGCGGGAGCCACGGTGCTGGCCGCCTGGAGGAGATGAGCGTGTTTACAGGCGCCCCGGGTGAATGATGGCCGAGTCCCCCATGACGTGTGATGGCAGGACACGGCACTGAGGAGTGGGAGAATGCACTGGCAGATGCTGCTGCCACCCTCACTCCCAACACACACACACACACACACACACACACACACACACACACACACACACACATCCTCCTGTTGACCAGGAGACCTGGGGACTGCCTGGGAGTGGCCAGAGGCGTGAGGCTGGCATGGTGTGCAGCTGGCCTTCCTTGTCTTCAGCAGGGAGGTCCGACTTCTCTCTCCTAGATGAGAAGTATGGGAGCCAGGAGAAGAGTGGGGGTCCCCAGGTATCCCCCCAGGGCAGGGAGCACACCTAGGAGGAGGGATATGGGGTGCAGGTGAGCTCTGTCCTTGCCCCGGAGCTGTTTGATCCATGTACCAGACTGGCTCCCCACCTTGGGAAAATCTGACTCTTTATTTCTCACTGAGTGGACGCGCAGGCCCCTCAGACTGGGCCTAGGACCCAAGCAGGTGAGGCAGCATGAACTGGGAGTGAGGCAGAGAGGGGATGGGCCTGTCTTGTCGTCTGCCTTGGGCCTGGGCTTACAAGAAGGGTTGTAAGGGGTTTCTTTCATTGGGTCCACAGCCAGCGTCACACTGGTGTGTTCAGAGTGGACATCAGGTGGTAGGGAAGGAGCCCCATGGGGGACAGAGCTGCTGAGAACTGAAAGGTGTCACCCTAGCTGCAGGGCTGCCCTTGTTCTCAGGGCAGGAGCACGACGCTGGCTTTTCAGAAACTTCATCAGAATTCACCCGAAGCCTTCTGTCCCCCACCCCCACCCCCGCCCTCCATTAGCTGTACAGCCATGGCCTGCCCTGGGCAGCTCTCTAGAGAAAGCTCTGGAAGGGCATGGAGGACAAAACGCCCCCAGGCCAGCCCCCTCTCGGCTTCAAAGCCTGGCCTTGTCCCCCGCCCATGCCACCTCCTCCACTCGCCACGTGCCTACATCCAAGGGTGTGTGTGTGTGTGTGTGCGTGTGTGTGCATGTGTGTTGGGACGGCCATCCTCAGAGGCGCCATACCTGGGCGCTGTGGGTTCACTGTCAGGATGCTAGTTCATTAGAAAGAGCCAGGCTGCTTTGCCCAGAGAAGTGCAGACTCCCATGGGGGCCACGTCACACTCTTCAAAGAGGCAAAGTCCAAAGGAGAGGAGGAGGGTGGGAGAGCCAGAGTTTGTGCCTCTGCGTGTGTGTGTGCGTGTGTGCGTGTGTGTGTGTGTTTATGAAGCAGCCATCACAGGCTCCAGGGTCCTCCGGCTCCCCACTGTGAAATGAGGGGGACTGGAAGACTGACCCCTGGACCTACACTAAAGGGCAGGTGCCTGGGCACATACAGGTACAAGGGCTTGGTTCTCACAGGGGCGCGCACACACACACACACACACACACACACACACACACACACCTGCACCCCCAAATCCAGTCCAGGTGTACATAGTCAAGAGCCAAGATCCACTAGCGGGTGCCTGGTGCCATAGCCTAGTGCCTAAAGTCCTTGCCTTGTGTGTCCCAGGATCCCATATGTGCCCCGGCTGCTCTACATCCCATCCAGCTCCCTGCTTGTGGCCTGGGAGAGCAGTAGAGGACGGCCCAAAGCCTTGGGACCCTGTGTCCGTGTGCGACACCTAGAAGCTCCTGGCTCCTGGTTTTGGGTCAGCTCAGTTCTAGCCATTGTGGCCACTTGGAGTGTGAATCAGCAGAAGGGAAATATTTCTGTCTCTCCTTATCTCTGCAAACAAAAAAATCTTACTTTCCAATCAAAACAAATAAAACTTTTAAAAGATTCATTTATTTTTATTGGAAAGCAGGCACAGAGTCTCCTTCCCGCCCCACAAACCACTGTGAGGAGCCGCCTGGGCAGCTGTGCCACCTGCCTGTTCTCATCCCCTGAGCACAGTCCCTCGGTGGCCATATGACGTCAGGAGGCAGCCAGAAGGCACCCCAAGCGCCACTGAACTTGTACGATCCGCACCTCTCTGGCCCCCGGGGTTCCTGGCGTTGGCTCCTGGTACACCAATGGTGTTCAGCTCAAATGGGTGGCGGGGAGACTCGTCGGTTCCTGCCTCCCCCATGGCCTCCACACAGAAACCTAGGTATCATCGGCAAGTTTGCTCGTTGGTGGAACCGGGGAAAGTGGCGGACTGGAAGCTGGCTGCTGGGCTTGCTGGGCAGTGGGAGGACTCCTAGCCCTGGGAGCCCATTGTCCTGCCCCAGGCATCCACTACTATCCACCTAGGAGGGAGTTTGCTTCTCATCTACCCCCTGCAACCAGCCCCTACCCTTGGAGTGCGGGCTTCACAGCCAGAGTCCCACACTTCATCTTCACTGACGCGCGGGCCCCAAGCCCCGAGCAGTGTCCACTCTGCAGGGAAGGTGGCAAGGAGGTACTCGACAGGGGGTGGCCCGTGGGCTCTGCTACAATGCCAGCTCTCTAAGGGAGGGCGGCCCAGACACCTTCCAAACCAGACAGAGGAGCTCAACGTAAGGCCTGCGGGCTCCATGGCTGCCGGCATCACTTCCGGTCATTTCACTCCTCCAGGGCAGGACTCCCCCCTGCCGCCCCCTCCGCAGCCTCCACTCCACTTCCTGCCCAACACCACCAGGTCAAGGAGCCCACCTCAATGCTGTGTGGCCCAACAGGACACCCACAAGGGGGCACTTCACACTCAGGCTCCTAGCCTCGCTGGCCCTCCAGAGCTGCATGGTTCCGAGGGAGTGGGTCACCAAGCAGCCATGGGGCCACGGGGCATGCTCGGGCCTGTGTGGCCGCTTTGTCACAACGTGTGAGCATGCACACGTGTGTCCTCGGAGCAGGCACACGTGTGTCCATGACTTGGATAGGGGCAATTGAATTCTTGGTTGCAGAAAACGGCTTTGGCCTGTTCTCTTGCTGCACGCACACTGCCCCCCTTCCATCCCTCCATTCCTTTTCTTTTCCTTTCTTCTCAGAAATCCATTGCTAAAAGGTTTATTACCCGCCTCTGGGGTGGGGGTGAGAGTGGAGGGGGGTGTGGTAGGGGGATTGGGGGGGAAGAGCTGGGGGAAGGGAGAAACTAACACCGCAAGGCCCAGATCAAAACACTTGGCAGCTTAAATGAATTCGGCAGCCATTCCCCGCATGACTAGGAGGGATAATTTAGTGAGGCCGCCAGCTGGAAGGAAAGGGATTAATTCTGCACTTAGCACAGCTCGAGTGAATAATTCATCACGGGAGACCTTTGTGTCCAGCCCCTGGGCAGTGTCCTGCCCGCCTGCCTGTTGCCTACACAGCCCCACCAGTCCTCCCACATGGTGGAGGCAGTAGGAGGCACAGGGCGGTGGGCCGGGCCTGGCTTGAGGCCGAGAGACCCTTGAGGACTTGCTTTCCCCTTTCTTCCGTGTCCCCTGTGACATCCCCGTGAGCTTGGGGGGTGGCTGTCCCCGAGTTCTCTAACACACACTTCCCTACCAGATATTCAGGGGGACCCGAAGGGCACGATCAGCAGGGGGCACGGTTGGATGCTGACCAGGGTCCCCTTGGCTCCATCTACCATGAAAACCGACAAAATCAGAGGGCGATAGACCAGCCGGGGGCTCGTAGAATCTTTATCTTTCCAGTTTTGGAAGTTGTCAAGGTCCCTGGCACCGGTACGTACCTTAGCATCTGCATGAAAGTCAAATGTCAAGGGTCCGAGCTGGACCCGGAGCCCGCCGTGGCTGGCTTAAAGGAGTAGAGACCCAGGTATGGGGGAGTTGGTCAGGGCAGGGGCCAGGCAGAAACGTAGCTTCCTCCCAACCTTGGACGGAGCCAATAGGAGGAGAGGAGCTGAAACCATTCCACAACCCTCAGCCCCAGCCAGGTTCCCCACCCAATCCTCATACCTTCCTCCTGTCACCTGGCACAGCTGGCCTGCACCTGGGAGGGGTTATCCAGCATCCTCTTGCCAAGCCTGAGGTTCTCTGCTGAGAGCCAAAGAGCTCTCAGAGCGAAGGAAGAACTGGACAGCTATGCTCCTAGCTTTGAGGGGGAGCAGCCACAGGTGCCAGACCCTCAGGCCAGGTCTCTGTGTTTCTTCCTGCTGTGCGCTGGGGTGGAGGGTAGGAACCTGCTACTGGCAGGACATCAGCCAATCAGGGCTGTGTGCTCAGCAGCCACACCTGCCACACAGCAGATGTCCCAGGTCCTCCAGATCACCAAGCAGGCAGCACCATGGCTGGTCCCCGGGCCCCTCTCTGCTCTCTCTTCTCTCTCTGCCATGCTTCAACTCTCTCTCTTGCTTTCTGAAGCTACACAGAACCCTCAGTTCCACCATCAAAACCAGCTGACCCCTCCCCATGGCAGACGCAGGAACCCCAGCACCCTCCAAACCAGGCCAGAAACTGTGGCTCACACCTCACCTACCTCAGAGGTGAACAACTGGAAGGAGATATCCACTGTGGGGGCCTCACCACTGATGGTTTTCAGGTTGGTGTCCTGGGCCAGGGAGGAGGATGGAGATGGGTGTGGTCATGGCTCGGACACCACCATCCTGTCCCACCTGTGGTTCTGGGGTCACCAGGAAGGAGCCGACAAGAGGCAGGACCAGGTCCCTCCCTGAAGGCAGGCCCCATGCTCGGGGTGGAGAGTAGTGCCTGGCTGCCCCAGAAGTAGGATTGGGATGGAGTGGGGTGGGGGTGGGGCATACACCTAGGCTGGCCCGCCCATCCCAAGGATGCCTTGGTGGGAGGTGTCCCCGGGGTGGGGCTCACAGTGATGGGAAGCCGTTCTACACGCAGCCCAGTAAAGCCTTTCCCCGCCAGCATCTTGCGGTACAGACGGCTCTTGAGTGGCAACACGGAGACGCCCAGTGGCTGACCCAGGTTCCAAGGCTTGCTGCCTTTTACTGATGAGAGGGAACAGGTTGGCTCTCAGACTCCAGTGCCTGCACCAACCCCCTGCCCCCACAATCCCATATCTATCGCACTCTTTGCTGCCACCACCCTCAACCTCCTCCTCTGTAAGTCCAGAGCCCACTCTGAATGCATTCCATGTCTCGGTGTGGCTGTGGACCACGCTGCGGTCTCTGCCCTTTGAACTCCCACAACTTCGCCCCTCCCAACTCACTGGAAGGTGAGAGATGCCCACCCTGGGGGCAGCTGGGACATCTGGGGAATCCCTTGGCCCATCCCTAAAGCGGTGATGGAGGAAAGACGATGCCACTCACAGTGTGCGGGCCTGTGTACCTGTAGCCGAGGAGTAGTACTCCAGCACCAGGGCGGCGGCTCCAGAGAAGTTCGTAGCTCCATCCCGTCCTTGGAAGAGGAAAGATTGGTTCCACAGCGGCTGCTCGGGCGGCCCCCCAGACTGGGACAGCTGGAGGGGAAGTGGGTGGAGCAGGTGATGGAGGCCACAGCTTCTGTCACGTCGGTGCACACACATGCCTGCACTTGGTTGTGGGGGTGTCTACACACACTGCAGGTGCTCGACACAGCCATACAGGTAACACGCACTCAGAGAACACACAGAGGAACAGGAGGGCAAAGATAGTGCCCCGGGGCTCCCACACCACTGCAGGAAACCCTGCTTCTTCCTCTGGTGTTGGCCAATGTTTGTGTGGTAGGTGATGATCATTGTAGCACCCTGCTTTTTAAAAAACAGTGTGTGTTTATTTCAAAGGGAGACAGAAAGACATGAAGAGAGAGAGAGAGAGAGAGAGAGCTTCCTTCTGCAAGTTTACTCCCCCCCTCCCCAAATGGCTGCAGTAACAGCTGGAGCTGGACCAGGTCAAGGCCAGGAGCCCAGAATTCCCTCTGGGCCTCCCAAAAGTGAGGGACAGAGACTCCATGTTCTCGAGCCATCCCTGCTCCTCCCAGGATCCGCGTTAGAAGCAGAGCTAGAACTCGAGCCTGCGATGCAGATGTAGGCATCTCAAGTGGCCACTTGAACACCAGGCCAGAGGCTGCTGCCTTTCAGAGCCCCCGCTCAGTCACAAGAACAGCGTGCTGCCCCTGACCTCAGCAGCACAGGTCCAAGAGCCCTGCACTGCTCCTCACCCTATTCCTCCTTAGGATTCCTGTCTGAGCCTCCTCAGGGACCCGTCTCGATCTCAGATCACTCCTAGGCCGCGGGATCTGAGGCCGCCCATGCACGAACTGGGATGAGGGTGCCAGCCCCCAGGGAATGGAAGCTGCAGACTCTCAGGGTGCATGGTGAGATGCCGCGGAGCTTGGCACTTGCAGACAATAGCCAGGCCAGACGGCAGGACAACGGCCTCTGGGGAAAGGTTGGCAGCTTGGAGGTGTGGGCCACCACCAAGCCCTCTGTCCTCAGCCAGGGAGGGAGAGGGCATTGTCGGTCTCAGTGGCTGCCCCCATCTCCCACCCTGTCCCCTGAGGGAATCAGTCAGCTTTGTAAAAGGTCAACACAAACGCGAGGCAGGCTGTAGCAGCTACTGATGCAGCGGTGGTGGTGGGCGGCGGGCGGCACGTGTCAGCGTGGAGCTGCCATCCCAAGGGGGCAGACCTGTAACACCCCACCACATCACACGGACAGACCCACCCCAGGGAGGACTGGATCTGACTCACGGCTTGGAACACCTGCCAAACCTTGAGGGCTCACGGGGAAGACCTGAGACCCCAGCTGCTGCTGGTCCCCATGTCCCTCCCTCCACCCCAGAGAGTCACTTAAGGGATTGAGCTGTGCTCGCCTGAGAGGAGGGGCACTCTATCTGCCCTGTTCCCCAGGCGGCCCCCACTTCAGCTGCCTGCAAGACAGAGCTATGCCCCCCGCCGCCTCAAAGATTGTCTGCCTTGGCCTTCGGTCCTCTTTGGATGGGATACCCAGAATGCTTTGCCCTTCCAGCAGGCTGCTCACCCTAACCCCAGCAGTTCCAGCCACAGAAAAACCCCAATGTGAGCCCTGACATGGCCAGCTTGCCAGATCCTCCCATCCCTGCCCACAGGGCATCCAGCCCCCTTCCCTGGAATGGAACTCATGCTCAAAGGGAGGCAGGAAGGCTGGCTGCCACTGCCTAAATCCCCCTGGCTGCTGTGTTGCTCTGTGCCTCCACCCGGGCCTTCTAAAGCTGGCCCAGTGCCCGTGGTGCCATGTCACCTCCAACAGGTGTCTCAGACTCTCGCATCTCCCCCCACACCAGGACAGATGAGGCACTGGGAGCAGGGGTCCTCCTCCCACCCCCTGCCAGGCAGTGGAGGCAACCAGACTGGGTCTGGGAGAACAGGGGAGGGGGTTGTTCATTAGAGCTGGTGGGGGTGAGGGGCAGCACCGGGCCCTAGGGAGCACCTGCTGATTGGTTCTTAATTTCCTGGGCAAATGCGGGGCCATGTGTGATTGCCTCTGGGGAAATCAGGAGAGGGATTGGTTTGGATTTGAAGCTTCTGTCTCCCAGGGGCCACCCTTCGTCCCAGCCCCCTCCCTTCGCAGGGTCGCTTTTGCTGTGGCTGTGCCTTTTTCAAAATTTTCCTTGTAAAGCAAGGCTGGGGCTCTCTAGGAGTAGAGCTCCTAAGCTTCTGTGGAGACACAGTGGGAGGGACCTCCAGGAGTCTGCACCTGTCCTGCAAGGCCCCCAGGCAGGAAGGCAACACCTGCTGAAGACCACAGGAGGAACATGCAAGCTGATAGGTCGGTGCCCTGGCCCCAGCCTCTCTGGGTAAACATACTGTTCTCCTGTCTACCCAGCACAGGCCTGTGTGTCCCCCACCTTACATGGGTCCCTGTGCTGGTGTCAACCGCCCTGCATCGGCCCCTAGCTATACATCCCCTCTCCCCTGATTGATTTGTAGAAATCCGATTGTGGTCAAATACACTTTAACAGGGAAGTGGAGGTTTTTAGTCCTTCTCTATGGGGTTTTCCCATTAGGGAGGCAGCTTCCGGAGCGCTCACTTGCCACAAAGCGGCAGCCTTCTTCCCAGCACTGGCGACGCCTTATTCCACTGTCAGTCTGCAGGAGTCTGCCCGCCCAGGCACCCAGGGAGGTGCAGTCAGTCACGCACGATGCCCTTGCGTGCCTCTGTGATGCGTTCATGCTCGCCCAGGATGGACGCTGGAACTGAGCATCCCCGTGAGGGGCCACGTCCAGCAGCCCAGCACGCCCCAGGAGCAGCTTCTCCTCAGCATAGACAAGTACAGCCTGGGATGTGCAGGAGGCTGGATGTGTGGATAAATGAGGGTGTGTGTGGGATTCACGAGGGGTATGAATCAATGAATGGTGTGGGAGAGTTGCCAGATGTGAATGAATGGATGAGTGTGTGGGCAGTCACCGTGTGTGAGTGAATGAATGAATGTGCACAGTTACCAGGTCCGTGTGTGAATGAATGAATGAGGTCACTCGGCGTGTGAGCAAGCGAACGAGCGAGCGAGTGTGGGCAAGGGCTCACCTGAGGACACCCGTTCTGGCTGACACGGGGCACGTCGAAGTTCATCACCGAGGGGATGGGGAAGGACAGGGGGGTGATGGGCAGCCCCACGGAGGCTGAGTCCTGGTTTGCCTGGCTGACCCTGGGGAGGAAGACACACAAGGTGAGGGGTCAGCCCTCTGTACCCCACGCCCCCAGGCTGGCCCTCACGCTGGGCTGGTGTGACAAGGGGCCTGTCCAGGGCAGGCTCAGGGCAGAGCCCTGTATTGTGGCTGGATGCGCCCAGGGCCCCTTTCCCGCTAGCCCCAGGACCCCCTTGCCCATGACCCAGGCCCCAGGGAGGCATAAGGTGGTCGGAGAATGGGCCGTAGCCCTCAGCTAACCACCTCCACAACAGCTGTGCCCTGGCCAGCTTTGAAGGCCTCAACAGTGTCATCTTAAACGCGTGTCTCAGTTTCCTCCTGGCCTTTGGCAGGGTTTGTTAGCATGGCTCATCCCTGCCAGGGTGTGTGTGTGTGTGTGTGTAAATCACTTGTGTGTGCTTGCATGGACATATATGTATCGTGTGTGCGCACTGTACTGCATGTGTCGCTCGTGTCCCTTGCGTTACATGTGCATGTGTGTGTATGTATGTGTGTGTGTGTGCATGCTGTGTTCTCTGGGCTGAGGCTGTCAGTCATCTTTATTGTCAGCAAGCAGGTGCCTCCCAGGCTTCAGACACTCAGTCCACACCTGTTCTTGGGCCACTCGCAGCTGGTAGAAATGACAGTCACAGGGAGCCCAGTCGCTCACTGGTGGCCTTCGGTGATCCAACTAGGCTGAGGCTCCTCGGCCTTGCCCCCAGGACTGTGAGTCCGACAGACTCAAACAGATGCTCCCTGGACGGGGAGCGGAGACCTGAGGCATGGCCAAGGCCAAGACCAAAGATGGCCTTGGATGCCCTCCTTTGGGAGGCTTCCTGGGACAGCTGCCAGCTGAGGCCTGTGGCCCTGAGTTGGAGCAGAGAGGAAGATGGTGCAGGTGTTATGTCAGGGAGAGGGCAGGGCTGGGGTGCCAGGCACCCTCTGGTTCTCCTGGCATCTGGCTCCCCTAGCTCTGCAATCCAAGGGTGGCCTTCACCCCCTGCTCCCCAGCTGTACTTCTCTGGGCCCCCGTGTGCTCCTGGGGATACCTAGGCAGAGTCCATAGCAGGAAGCACCCAGGACCCCATTCCACCCCTGGAACCAGCATGGGGTGGGGCAGCCTCTGCCCACCCCCAGCTCTGCCCTCTGCCCTCCCTACCTTCCTGCCCACACCTAGGTCCCACTCACTTAAACTCCTGGTAGTTGGGAACCACCCGGGCGATTACCACCATGGGGTCCAGGTTGTTGATCAGGCGCTCATTGACTCCACGGAGAAAGACCTGGAGGAGGAGGTAAGCAGGTGGACCCCATGTGGCCTTGGACCCCCAGTGACCAGGTGACCCCTTGCCCCATCCCCGCCCTGCTCACTGGGCCCCTCTGTACCTGCAACTGCCCTTGCCCCTTCCTATTCCCTGTCCCTCTTGGCTTTGCTTTGCCATGGAGTTCACTCTGGGCCCTGGCTTCTCAACTTGACCTCAAGGGGTCCTTCCAGCTGTGACCTGCCACGGAAGGGGAGGCCCAGGCATGGTGTGTGTCTTGAGGCACTCTGCCAGTGGGTCCACTGGCAGTGGGTCTCAGTGGGTCCACACAGGAGCTGATGGGCCCATGATGTGTGCCAGTTGCCTGCACCTGCTTTGTGGCAGGTGTGGCAGACAGCGACCCTGTGGCCAGCAGGAGCAGGGCCGTGCACTCCACCTGAGTCTGGGAGGAGGGAGCTGCTCAAGAGACCCTGCCTGTGTCACAGACAAAAAGCTGGGAGCAGGCAAGGATCCGACTGAGGGGGTGCAAAGCCCTGGGGGGGGGGTGCAGCAAGGCCCAGTTGTTGTCTTGCTGGTGAAAAAGAATGGAGAAGAGAGGGGGCTGCCTCCAGCTGGCTCTTCTACCCCATCCTCTCAGGCCTCAGCATTCCCTGCCGTGAAATGGAGCTGAAGAGGAACTCACCCTGTTGGCTTACAGTGCCAGAGGCCAGGGATGGGCGGGGAGCTGGGTCCCAGTGCAGAGGGGAAGTAGGGGAAGGGTCTGTGAACCCCACTCCAGGTCACAGCTGGATTTGCCTCTGTCACCAACTAAGTGGGGGCTCAGAGGCTGGAGGAAGGGCCAGGGCCAGGTCTTTAGCCCTTTGTTCATCCGAGGCTGGGGAGGTGGCCTGGTATAAGCTGGAACCAGCCCTGCCCTGGGGACTCAGTGACCAGCCATTGGTGGTGGGGCAGAGGGCAGGGAGGGAATGAGCAAACTCCTGTCTGACTGATATACACAGTATGTAAAACTTCAGGAGCATCAGGGAGGCCAGGCCGTGGGGGGGTGGCGGGAAGAAGATCATTATCCCCAGAAAGAGAGGAGGAGCTGGGGCAGGGCTGGGGCTGGGCTGGGCTGGGCTGGGCTGGGCTGGGGCTGGGGCAGGCCTGGGGCAGAGCTGGGGCTGGGCTGGGGCTAGGGCTTGGGCTGGGGCAGGCCTGGGGCTGGGCTGGGGCTGGGCTGGGGCTGGGCTGGGCTGGGGCAGGCCTGGAGCTGGGCTGGGGCTGGGCTGGGCTGGGGCAGGCCTGGGGCTAGGCTGGGCTGGGGCTGGGGCAGGCCTGGGGCTAGGCTGGGGCAGGCCTGGGGCTAGGCTGGGGCAGGCCTGGGGCTGGGCTGGGCTGGGGCTAGGCTGGGGCTGGGGCTGGGCAGGGCTGGGGCTGAGGCTGGGGCTGGGCTGGGGCTGGGGCAGGCCTGGGGCAGAGCTGGGGCTGGGCTGGGGCTGGGCTGGGGCTGGGCCTGTGGCTGGGCTGGGCTGGGGCAGGCCTGGGGCAGAGCTGGGCTGGGCTGGGGCAGGCCTGGGGCTGGGGCTGGGCTGGGCTGGGCTGGGCTGGGGCAGGGCTGGAGCTGGGCTGGGGCAGGCCTGGAGCTGGGCTGGGCTGGGGCTAGGCTGGGCTGGGCTGGGGCAGGCCTGGGGCTGGGCTGGGGCAGGGCTGGGGCTGGGTTGGGCTGGGGCAGGCCTGGGGCTGGGCTGTGGCTGGGCTGGGGCTGGGGCAGGCCTGGAGCTGGGCTGGGGCTGAGCTGGGGCTGGGGCAGGCCTGGGGCTGGGCTGGGCTGGGCTGGGGCTGGGCTGGGGCTGGGCTGGGGCTGGGGCTAGGCTGGGGCTGAGGTGGGGGCTGGGCTGGGGCAGGCCTGGGGCTAGGCTGGGGCAGGCCTGGGGCTGGGGCTGGGCTGGGGCAGGGCTGGGCTGGGGCTGGGCTGGGGCAGGGCTGGGGCAGGGCTGGGGCTGGGCTGGGGCAGGGCTGGGGCTGGGCTGTGGCAGGGCTGGGGCTGGGCTGAGCTGGTGCTGGGGCAGGGCTGGGGCTGGGCTGGGATGGGGCTGGGCTGGGGCTGGGCTGGGCTGGGCTGGGGCTGGGCCACAGGAAGCTCCTGCAAACCAGGACGACATGCTGTGGGCAGAACCAGGGCTAAATGCCCTTCCTCTGACTTCCATGAACAGCAAGGTTGGGCGATGCCAAGCTGCTTCCATCTCTCCATCTGGGTGCCTCTGCTCTGCACCCTCCCCATCCGCTGGCAGCCTCCTAAAAGCTGGTCCTGGCACCTCCAGTGCAGTGTGGGTGCAGCCGATGTAGCGGGGGATACAGCTACCCTTCCGGACGACCGTGACGTACAGGTGGGCCTTGGCCGAGTCTTCACTGTCTTTTTTGGGCTCGGTGGGCTGCAGGCAGGAAGGACAAGAGAGAGAGAGAAAGTGGCTGAGGTTAGGCAGGCCCTGGTCATAAATCCAAGCTCTGGGCAGACAAGTACTGGGAACTGATAATGAAAGCTCATGGTCCCTGTGCGCCCTTCTGGGGTGATCAATATCGTAAATCCTCCCCTTTCCACGGGATTGTCTCATTGCCCTCACAAGAGTCCCCTCCTGCCTGCTCTTGTGGTAAAGATGTGATAACAAGGCCGGAGGGAACCCGGGGAAGAGGGAGGGAGGCTGGTCCCAGAGTCCAGCTCAAGCTGTGGGTCTCCCAAGGGGGAGTCACTTGTATCTTCACTTCCCTGCCTGGCCAGGGAACCTCATCTCCAAGTTCCTAGGAAGGAAAAGCCCCCTGGGGCTTGGAGGAAGGCCTGGAGGGGGTGGCAACAGGAGGAGGACTAGCCTAGATACAGCACTGGCCATCACTGCCCCTGTGCTGGGGGTGCGTGGCAGGGGGCGGGGTTAAGAGCTTCCTGGAGCAGGTATCTGCTGGTGAGCATCAGGCCTGCAGTAGGAACCCTCAGCCTGGCCCCTACACTGCTTTTTTCCTCAAGCCTCGGTGTGGGTCCCACAGTGGACCCCAGAAGAGGTGAATCCTTGGCCAGTGCAAGCCACCCAAAGATGCTTTTGGTAAGTATCATGGCAGAAAGTATATTGCTCTGGGTACACTGAGATAGCACAGGGGAGCCGTGCAGGAAGTCCTTGCCAGGAACTGAGGCTCCAATTCCAGGCGTGTACCCACTAACAGGGAGCCCCTGAGCTTTCCTCTCCTAGTCAGGCAGCATGCAGAGGTGGGATGATTCCTCCCTCTGCAACCTAAGCCCACGCATGCAGAACCAGGCATCCAAAGTGTCTTCTCGTATGGGAGGCAGAACAGGGGCACACAGTATGGATACAGCCTCCATCGATGCAATGTGTTGAATTTCTTTGCTGTTCCACGCATTCTGGGCTACCTCTGAGGCTGAATTGTATTGGGGGCTTTCAAATCCCTGGGGACACCTGTCCCACCCACCCACCAGGACCAGGAGCTGGGCTCCCTGAGTCCCATGTAGTTGGTTCTAGGTGGGTATATGCTGGCTCTCCCTGCTGTGTGCCCCATGACCCCCAGGGTGGGCAACTCACCATCACCAGTTCAAAGTGGTAGGGGTGGAAGACACGCAAGTACTTGATGGGCACCGTGTAGGACAGCAGCTCCTCTTTCTTTCTCTTGTCCGCCACCTTGAGGATCAGCTCTGGAGGCACGCCAGACAAGCACAGGGTCAGGACAGGGTTAATTCTACCCCTGTCCTGCCCAGGGTACGCCTACAGTCCCCTAAGCACCATCTGAGCCCCTTACGCAGGGCCAGGCTTCTGTGCCAGGTGCAGGGATGACCTGAAGTGAAATTTCAGGAATTCACAGCCCATGGGGGGGTGGGAGGGGACGTCGGCAGACAGCAGTCCCCACCCAGGTCAGCACACGAATGAAGGCAAGCGGGAAGCATGTCTTTCTCTCTTTAGGGATTAAAGCCCCTTGCCTTGGTCACCAACACTCCTAGCAGCTCCCCAGGCACAACGGGGTGGGATCCCCTCGCACACATTGTAGGTGGGGAGGATGAGGTTCGGCAAGGAAGACTGAGCTACTCAAGCATAACTGAAATCAGCCATTTGTAAGCTATCACCACGTCATTGACAAAGCCCAAGGAAGCCATTCATGAGCCGTGATGTACACAATGGGCCTGCCTTTGGTGAGTGTCCTCCCAAGAGAGCACGTTTTCTCATGAAATGGCATTCACTTTATTATTTTATTTTATTGTTTTATTTATTTTATTGTTTTGAAAACCAGAATTAGAAAGGGAGAAATGAAAGATCTTCCATCCATGGGTTCATTTTCCAAATGGCCACAGCAGTCAGAGCTGGACTGATGTTTCCAATATTTTAGTATATTTGCTGCCCAAGTGAGCACGTGCTAGACTGATCTAAAGCCGGGAGCCAGGAGCCTGGAGCCTGGAGCTTATCCTAGTTCCTCATGTCAGCCTCAAGACTGACTGATAGCCTCTCCCTTCTGTGAAGGTGGGCACCAGGCAGCTGGCTATGGGAGAGCCTGGCAGGTGCATTGCCTGCTCTGTGGGGTCTGCCATCCAGGGAGGAGATGGAAGAAGGCTAGTTACCAAGGTCCTCAGCTGCCTTCCCCTCTGCACCCAGCTGTCTGCTCGCCAGCCTGCTCAGCCACTGGGACTGGCGCTGACCCAGGTGCTGAAGCTTCCTGCTCTCTCAAGAGAGACAGAGGGCTGGGGCTGGTTCAGGCTCAAGTTCCACTCCTTCCTCACAGTCTTCTCTTTCAAATATTTGTCTTTATTTATTTGAAAGGAAGAGTTACACAGAGAGATCTTTCATCCGTGGGTTCTCTCCCCAAATAGCTAGGAAGGTTGGAGCTGGACCGAGCCAAAGCAAGGAGCCATGTGTGCAGGGGTCCAAGGACTTGGGCCATCCTTTGCTGCTTTCCCAGGGGCATTAACAAGGAGTTGATCTCTGTCTCTTTTCCCCTCCTGTCCATCTCATTCCTGCTCCATCCCACATTTCCTCCCCCCCCCCATCTCCTTTGTCCTCTGAATCACAGATTTCTAAAATGGGATACTGAGTGCACCTAGTCCACTCTCCCTAGCTATGTAGAGTTAGGCAAGTCACATCGGAGCACTTCAGAAGTTCACAGAAGTGGGGTTAAAAGATACATTTAAGGCCAGGGCACCCACTGCATGAAGACCAGGTCTGTAGCAGGTTGGCTGGGCCAGGCCACAGCACCCATCAGTTTGCATGAGCTATGGGGCTAGGGTAGAACTGATTAGGCAGCTGCATCCAACAGTATGTGTGTTGGCTGGTACAGGTGACAAACCAAACCTGACCCTGCACTGGCTGGCATACATAAGAGTCACGTCTGAGGTCACCCCAGGCAAGGTTTTTTGGGAGGACTTTATAACTAGACTGCTGGGCTCAGGGCCAGGTCACCATGGAAAACTCATAGGATGCGTGGCCAAACCGTGGAGTAATGTTTGGAACTGGGTCTCTCCAGTTGCTGATGCCTTTGCAGTGGACAGCATGTCCAGATGTACACGGAGGACATGACTGCCAGCTCATCTAGACCAGCAGGGGATGTTGACTTCCATCACAGGATGGAAAGCAAAACAGGTTGAACAATTCTCCTGGCCAAGCTAGGAACATGATCTGGGTCTGTGGATATATTAAGGTGGACTTTGTCAATCAACAGACCTTGGAAATATTTTCCTAACTGTGGGGCAACGAAGCCGACAATGTCTCAGAACTATCAAAAGCACTCCAGTCACACCCTCAGGACGTTCTTCCCAACACTGGGGTCTTTAGGGTGTCACCAAAGGACTGTCCTCCATCCTCTGGTGCTGATGTAGTTGGACAGCAAGAAGCAGGCCCCCTTCTCCTCTTCTTGGACACAGGAGGAAAAAAAAAGAAAAGCAGAAACATTTGTCCCACTCATTTTCTTCCATATCTGACCCTCCCCACCCTGATTGGAGACCCACATGGACAGGAGTCCCTCTCAATTATATAAACAATATTAAAATAAAAACACATAAATGATAAAAATGTATGGGATTGGGTGGTGGCTCAACAGGCTAATTCTCCACTTGCAAGTACCAGCTTTCCATATGGGCACCGGTTCTTGTCCTGGCTGCTCCACTTCTGATCAAGCGCTCTGCTATGGCTTTGGAAAGCAGCAGAGGATCAGTCAATTCCTTGGGACCCTGTACCCATGTGGGGGACCAGGAAGATGTTCCTGGCTTCAGATCGGCTCAGCTCCAGACATTGTGGCCACTCGGGGAGTAAACCAGCGGGTGGGAGATCTTTCTGACTCTCCTCTTTGTGAATCTGCCTTTCTAATAAAAATGGATCTTAAAAAAGATAAGTTTGAGAGCAAAACCTTTCAAAATCCTTACATATGCAGAACCTTCAGAAAATTCATGGAAAAGCATATGATGGAAGAACAATGCACAGATTTTGTTCCTTTTGACCCTCAATAAATGTATCTTTTATTTCTGTTTGCCAAGAAAAGTTCTGATGTCCCACGTGCTTATGAAATCACAAACTAAGAAACTTAATAGATATACGAACACACATCCATGTCCTAATGCACATTGAAATTAGCATAAAACTTTCTTAAACATGTGTCCAGAAACTATGTTATAAGGTAACCTATAGGTTTAGGTTAGGACACCACCTACAATGCTGGCATCCCAGTTGCCCCACTGCTGATCCAGCTCTCTGCTAATGGCCTGGGAAAGCAGTGGAAGATGACACAAGTGCTTGGGTCCCTGTACCCATGTGGGAGACCCAGGAGGAGTTCTTGGCTCCGGGCTCCTGGCTGTTGTGGCCTAAATGGTGAGTGACCTAGCAGATGGAAGATTGCTCTGGATTTCCAACTCCCCTGTCACTCTGCCTTCCTGATAAACAAATAACCCTCAGGGCTGTTGAGGGAGGAGTATGTATTTCCAAAGCTACGAATTTAGTGCTGGTGTCCTCGAAGCTGTTGCCAGGGCCCACCTGTGGCTCAGCCAGCCAGCCAGAGTCGCAACAGTAGCTATTGAGACTGCAGCCCCCACACTCAGTTTCCACGGGTCCCTGAGCCCCCAGATCCAGCTGGGCTTGGCCAAGGAGACCATCCCCACCGTCACACCACCACCGTTGCCTTCTGGAGCTCCGTGTGGGCAGCCAGCAGCCACGCCTCCCCGCCTCCCCGCTGCATCTCCCTGTAGCAAGCTTCCGCTCTGGCCCCCCATGCCTGGCCAGCCCCCCGCCGCGCCCTTTGTGCAGCTGACAGGCCCTGACACCCAGACTGAAACACCCCCTCGCTTTTTCATTAACACGTCCTTGAGCTCCCTCCCCCCCTCCCTTCCCCCGCCCCCCACACTCCTTCTTCCACCAGCACTGCACACACGTCACCACAGCAACCGGTTCCAACAAGCCGACAGCCAGTCCAATCTGCTGAGAGGCGCCTGCCTGGGCAGCCTCCTCGCCTTCCTGTCTCCCCCGTTTGGAGTCGTGACCCCTCTCTGCTGCACATGCGCTGACCTCTCCCTCAGCCCAGATCTGCAGGGAGGGCCCAGCCCAAGTCACTCACCGACTTCTCACCAGCTACATAATCTATGCATACTCAGGCACACACACAGACACACGGGTGCCTGTAGGGCTGACACTGCAAAGGCTCACACAGCCGAAGCATCCTAAGACACATGCAAGGGCGTGAGTACCTGGGTCCACTGCCTTTCTGTTTTGCACCTGCTCAAGCCATCCTGACTGCTCCACCTGTCCCCTTAAGCAGGAAAGATCCTTATGTGGAACTTGCTCTTTCCCATTCTTTTAAAGGAGGCTTCTCCTGACTCCCTGCACCTGCTGTTTCTGGCAGCTTTTCGTTCGTTGTGAGCCTAAGGAGGGGGCTCCATCCAAGCCCCAGGTGGGATTTCAAGGGAGACTGGGGAATCCTGTGCTGCCCGGGAGACCTCACTTGTGGGGAGCAAGCCTAAGATACAGACATCACTGGACACTGCTTGTCCCTGCTGGCAGTGCCCGAGGCCAGAGCCTCAGAGTAGCTATGGCATTGGCTGTCTGTACCCCTTGTGCCCAGCCCAAAGGAGCTGGGGCCAGATGGACACCACACAGACATAAATGTGTGTGTGCCCTGGGGACCCTCAGCTCTGTCTGATGCCCGGGAGGGATGAGGCAGGGACACAGGAAATTCCCGGATCAAAGCACCGACCATAAAACCATGGGGCTGCACTTTGGGTGCTGGGCTGGGACTCAGTGAGCTCTTCCAAGCAATGGGAGGGCGTGGTCCCTCTCCCCACCGTACCCCCACCCCATCCCCCAATCCTCTGCCCACCTCAGGGTGGCCCCAGGGGAGCCAAGAGGAGGAGGAGCCAGGGACATGGACTGGGGTGAGCTTTCAGTGGGATATACAAGGCAATAACCATCATGGAAATAATAACGGTCATAAAAAAAGATAAGCTGGTGACATATAGAAGATTCATTTAAGTGGAACAACTCATTTTCCAAGCGGGCTGGGGAGATGAGGCGTGACATGTTATAATGTCTGTGCTTGGAGTGTTGGCGCTGAGCTCCATTCAGGTGGCTTCCAGCTGGGCTGGGCGCTGAGCAAACCAGCAAGCCTGCTTCTGCCTGACCACAGGGTCCCAGTCCTCACTCCCTCTGTCCCAAACCCTTCCCCCTGCCCCAGGCTGCTCACCTTCCTGCCCTGCCTCCTCAGCTTGGATCTCCACCGTTACTGTGTCCCCCCAGATCGGGGCTCGGGTAGGCTCTGTGGTCACACAGGTGACTGCGTTGGAGCTCTGGTCCTTGGCTTCCTCCGATGTGGTTTTCCTGGGAGAATGGGGGTGGAGAGAGCCAGGGTGAGTCCCCTGCCAGTCCCCTCTGCCTGTACCCTGCTCTCCATGAATATGACTGGAAGAGGGCAGGGCTCTGAGACTCCCCCTCCGACCCCAACCACACACAAATGCTTACACTGGATTTGAGGCCCAGCAGACACCAGCCCCCTGGACTGCTCTGCCTGCTGCTGACCGCAGTGGTGGCCTCTCCCAATCCAGGGCTCTCCTGGGTCATGCCTTGGCCCTCTGCCAGCCTGCTCTTCCCTAGGGAGGGTGTGCCTGCAGGAGTCTGTGCGTGGTGCCCCTCTTCCCCTTGACCCCCTTTCTCCCCACGCTTCTGGCCCAGCCGCCAGCTCCACCCCCTCAGCCAAGCTCACAGCTGCTGCGCCTTCTGTGGCGCCTGCTGAGTGCAGGCAGCCAAGCTGGGCCCCTGCGGCTCCATCCTTTTAGGGAGGGAGGGGGCATGCCAGTGACCCAACCTCATCTTCCAAAGTGCCCCCCTAGGATCCAGATCTATGAGAAGTGCTGTTGTTTCAGCCGTGGCTGCCGCATCCACAGAAGGAGAGGACTTGGACCCCGATGAAGACAGAACACCCCCAGGATAGGGTGGGCAGTCTTTGGGAACATTGAGCACCCCAGGAAAAGAAACAGGGACATAGCAGCCTTCAGGGGGCTTGGCCTCACCCCAAAGGTCCCAGAGGGAGTGGGGGTCAGGCAGGGGGAGGCAGGCCCCTGGGGGAGAGGGGTCCAGCGACACCTACCTGTGGCCCTGGCCAGCCCAGCTTGTCCCTGTCCCTCTCCTAGGATTCTCACAGGAGCAACACCATGGCCGGCTCCTTACACCCACTCACCGTGGCCACTGTCCTTGTTGCAGTGGGGGGCAGGGAGGTCCTGGCCTCCAGCTCCAGGGGGCTCAGTGGAGGACTCCTACTCAGAGAGGGAGCATGCAGTCAGACCACACGGGCTGCAGACCCTTGCTCTCCCCTGTACCAGCTGTGCCAGCTTGGGCGAGGTGGAGCTGTGAGGTTATCACATTGCTGAGTGCCACACCTCGATAGTCACTATCCTATCACTTTAAATTACTCGTCAGTGGCTGGTGCAATGGTTCAGTTGGCTAATTCTCCACCTCCAAATGCCAGGATCCCATATGAACACTGGTTGCTGTCCAGACTGCTTCACTTTCCATCCAGCTCTCTGCTTATGGCTTCAGAACGCAGTGCAGGATGGCCCAAGTCCTTAGGACTCTGCACCCATGTGGGAGATCCAGAAGAAACTACTGGCTCCTGGATTCAGATTGGTTCAGCCCTGGTGTGACGGCCACCTGAGGAGTGATCCAGTGGATGGACGGTCTTCCTGTCTATCCTCCCTGTAAATCTGCCTTTCCAATAAAAATAAATCTTCAAAAATAATCCCAGCTGTAGCCAACAGCCTAGGTTGCCTTGCAAGTGTTACACTGCTGAGAGAAAAGCGGCTAATAGCTGGTGGGCATTTTGGGCCTGATTAAAGCCAAATTTGTGTTAACGATACCAGTGTGCCAGCACAGTTGCCTATTCTATTTTTTTAAAGATATGTGGGGGGCAGACATAGGCACACCAACAGATGGGGTCTGTGGTCCCAGGCAGGTGGGCAGGGCTTCAAGGCAGCATGAGACACTACCAGAGGCCTGGGCCTGGGGATCTGTGCACTCACAGGTATGGGGAACTGTGGATTGCTCAGGGAAGGGGGTGTGGGGATGTGTGGGAGGGAGGGCTGCTAAGGGAGAACATGACAGGTGAGGAGTGACTTCTGGGGAACTTCCACCAGGCTACTGCACTTGTAGGTGAACCAAGCAGCTAAGAGCTGGTGGTTTGGTGGAGGGAAACCAGAACCCAACCATGTGGGAGACCTGAGCTGGGCTTGCTCGTATCAACCACCAACTACCAGCACACACAAAAGCCATGGCTGGGGGGCAGGGGGGTCTTCCTGGCAGAGCTCCTCTACAATTTCTGCTAGTGAGTGTCAGAGCAGGGGGTACACCATGTCAGGCTGGGCCATGACACTAACCAGCATCTGGGAGAACCAAGTCTGGGAGTAGATTCTGTGGGGATTTTGTGGGCTCACCCCGTGAGACTGCCATGTACAGCAGCTGGTTTGCTTGAGGGATGGAACTGGTGACAGGCCAAACTAGGCATGACCACAGAACTCACCAACACTCATAGGTAATAGGGTTGAGAACAGGCCAAGCTGGTCCGGGCTGCAGCAGCTGCAGGTGCATCCAAGAATTGGATGTGGGGTGGGCAGACTGCAATATGCATCAACACACACAGAGGCTGACATTGGGGTCAGACTGCGCAGGGTAAGCACCTAGCACCCACTGACATGCATGAGATCTGAGTCTGGGAATGAACCTCATGGGAGGAACTTGGGGAACGCCCCTCATTGGCTTAGCTTCTACTGGTGAGCATGTGAGTCAGGGCTGGGTGTTGGTCTGGTCAGGCAGGGCTACTTCATTTGTTGTCAGGTGTATGGGTTGGCTCTGGGAATGCAGAATGGGCAAGGCTAGCTAAACCATAGTGCACTGGCATGTGCAGTAGCTAGACTAGGCTGTCATACCTACTGATTTGCATGAATGCCAGGAGCAGGCTGGGCAGGGCTAGGCTGCAGCAGCCACCAGTGAAAGTTGAGACTGGGGCAGACCAGGCTGCAGTATTGATGGCAAAGGCCAAGCTGGGTGATGGGTTATGCTGGACTGCATCAGAGCAATCACCAGCACCCACAAGATCTGGAATTGGGTGTGGGCCTGGTCAGGAAGTTAAGAGGATGCTCCTATTGGGCTATGATTTCCACTAGAGAGCACAAGAGCTGGAATGGGAATGGCAAACTGGGCTGCACATGGCTGCAGCACCTCCACATGGCTGTGAACTGAGTCTCGGGTATACCAGCTGGGCTAGGCTCCAGTACCCTCTTAGTGCTTGCAGGAGCCAGGGTAGATGTTGGACAGGCTAGGCTATGTCTTGGCATTTGCTGAGCCCGGGGGTAGGTCAAGCAGGGCTGGCCTGTAGCATCTAACAGTAAGAGGTAGAATGGGTGTGAGCGGTCCTATACCTGCCAGGACAGGAGGTGGGCCAAGTCAGGCTGGGCAGGGACCCACCAGTGTATGTGGGATCTGCCACTGGGAGGAGACCTGATAGAGGAGCTTGGGGAAATCGTCTGTGAGGATGCCATTTCCTGCAGGTGAGCACAAAACCAAGGCTGGGAGCAGCCCAGACCAAGCCAGGTTACAATACCCACAGGCGTACTTGTGGGTCATTGCTGGGGTCCGTGCAATGGGTGTGGATGACACGAAGGTGTGAAGAGAACAGCTCCCCTGTTTGGCAGGGACCAGGGAGCTTCCAGCTGTTTGGCAGGACCTGGCGGATTTCTCTCTGACCACCTTGATGCTGTTTCACCCCCTGTTTGCGTGGACACTCAAGCACCCCACTAAGAATTCTGTAATCTATTGAGGCATTGTTGTTTGCCCTGTGAGATGGCTTTTGCAACCAATATGAGTTTGAGAGTTAATGTTATTGGTAATGTCTTGGTGAGTGGGCCTTTGACAATTTACACACAGGAGCACAATTAAACCCATGCCATTTCTGGACACCTTATTGAGTGCTAACCATTGCCTCAGAATTTGGCCCAGACATACAGCACACCCTCTGGGAAGAGGCTTGATAAATATCCTAAATATTAATGCAAGTGATGGGAGTGAGAGCTGAAACTGCTACGGCAATAAATACAGTAACTGTTATCTCAAAGGCTAGTCTATCTTTGCAGTTTCTTTAGAGCATAGAAAATGTAGCTGTTTCAGCTGCTTTCATAATTTTTTAACTAGAGGAAATATAGGGTGATTTTATTAACATCGTAGAGATATACTTTTGATTATTGTCTGATTGTTTATGGGGTTGTAGAGCCTGCAGTTGTAGGGGGATTTAATGTTTGAAACTTTTTGTCCTGGATCATTATGGTTTTTTTTTTTCCCTTTTGATTTCTCCCACTAAGTGATAGATAAGTTGTGAAAATAAAATGTAGCAGGAATGTTTTACTGATTAGTAGGTTACCATCTGTGCCTTGGCCTTGGAGTTCTGGCTGTCACCTAATGGCTACTTCTGAAGAATGAATAACAGCTTGCTTTAAAGAAACTGATTATAGTAACTTACAGCATTATCTTTAAGAGCACCTGGTTGACCATGAAGTAAAAAATAAAATAATGAAACATCTGTGCACACCCACTTAGTCATGAAGTAAAAATAGAACAATCAAACGATTGTGCAGAGGCTTGTGTTGTGTCTAAGTAAATGAAAAGGACAGCTTCTTCTTGAGCTCTAGCAAGAAGGCACCAAGTGACAATGTCTGTGTCTGTCTTTATTGCCGACACCACGCACCCTTCTCAAGCTCCGAACTCAGCTGGAGCTGGACTCCGGCAGGTCATGTCTGGGGTCAGGCCAGGCTAGGTCAGTTCATAGCACCTACCAGTAGTTGTGAGAACTAGGACAGCACGACAGGCTGGTTTGGGCTGCAACATAGGCCAGTCCATATTAAGGCCAGGACTGAGGGCCATCGAGGCTAGACTGTAGCATCCACCAGCATGAACTGGAACTGAGGCTAAACCAGGCAGCAGCACCCACTGGTGAGTGGCGAGAGGAGGCAGGCCATGCCACACTGGGCCACAGCACTTACCAGTATACATAATATTGTATTATGTACAGTATTTTGTACTGTATTATGTACAGGAGGTAAGCCTGGTAGGGAGCAACAGGGCTCCTCTGCTGGGCCACTGCTCCCACTGGTGAGCATGAGAACTGGGACTGGGGCAGACAAGGCTGGGAAGGGATACAAAGCTTGTTGACCTGCATGTGACCTGGGTTAGCGGGAGAGCCAGGTTGGGCTGCATGAGCCAGAGAAAGTGCAGGCTGGTCAGGCTTTTCTGTAGCATCAGCTAGCAGGTGCTGGGACTGGGGGCAAGTCCTGTCAAGC